TTAACAGAGGTTACATACTTTTAGTCCCTCAGACCTATCATCAAATTCAGAGGGGGGACAGTGGTGCCATTTACTATACAGCTCTTCAGGGACCACCCACCTTCCTTGTTCCTTTTTTTATACTTACGTTTCCTGGTGACTGCATTCTTATCTGGTGAAATTTCAGTAGGGTCAGAATCCTTAGGACTTTGCTAATTAAATTAAGAAATAATAAATAATTGCTAACGGTTTTTTAAAACTTTTGTTTTATTATATAGACAGAACATATTTGTATATGATGGTTTTTTGAGAAAATAGTGATAATTTATAAACTGACATTTGACCTATCAAACTTCTGACAGTGTTCTGGGGAGAAAGGTTGGAAGCAGAACTGAAGAAACAGATAATGTGCTGGGTGTTTTAAAATGGAAGTGAGTAGATATTAGTGACAGAGGAGCAGTAAAGGCATAGGTATCAGAGACCACAATATCTACAGGCAGAAAGTTGAGTAGGAGGGAGCTAGGGATGGGCATGAACCAGGTCACAAACTGAACTGAAATCCAGCCACAAACTTCCATGAACTTTTAAGGCAGTTCATTCAGATCTGTGTGTTCACAGGGAGCAAAAAGCAGGGGTTTAAACCTCTGCTTTCTCCTCCCTGCAAAAGCTGCCAAAACATCCCTGTGAAAGCCACCAAAAGATCAGAAACAGCTGAGCTCCAGGGGCAGCCTGATCTCACGGCTCAGGTGTTTTGGGCTAAAAACAGCTGAGCTTGTTTCCGCAGCTCAACTGTTTCCAATCTAAAACAGCTGAGCCATGGGGCAGCCTGCTCCCATGGCTCATTGTTTAGATTGGAAACAGCTGAACCACAGGAGCAGCCTGCTCCCATGGCTCAGCTGTTTTTAGAGCCCAAAACACCTGAGCCATGGGAGCAGGCTGCCCCCATGGCTCATCTGTTTCAGGCAAAGACCTCACAAACCTGGTTCAGTTTGTGTGCAAACCAACTGGGATTGTGGTTTGGTTCGTGGCTCACCCACAAAGCACGAACTGAATTGCAGTGTTGTGGTTTATGCCCGTCCCTAGTAGGATCTTAGTTTTCATTAAGAATGCTAATTAATTTTCTGGAATACAACCTTGATTCCTGCACAGAACAGATGAAAGTGCACTTCCTGTTAATCTGTTCATGTAGATTTTATGTGTATCTGCTATCTGTGATATTGCATGTGATTTTCCTGAATGGGTACTAATAATGTATCATACTTTTTTTAGTACATCATTGAACTGTCTCCATCATTGGCCGAGATAATATTTGAAGCATGGAAAAATATTTAAATTTCTTTCTAGGTATTAACTGACACATTTTTATCCAACCCAATTAAGTTATGTGTTTTATGGCAATTTTACTCCAAAATATCAACATTTTAGTTTATGTTTCTGAGATAGTATTGGAATAAGAGATCAGCAATACATGTTGCAGATTTATAATAATGATCCCATTAGGTTATGAAAACTAGTATGCTTTGCTGAAATTTCTTCATTAGTTAATCCAGATGAGTTTGGGGGGGGGGGATGCATATTCCCAAAGATATTGATAGTCTGTAGATTTTACCTGAACGTACTTAGTTATGCCCACATTTCAGAATAGGTGAATAAATGAGTATCATACTGGCAAAAGGGATATAGAAGGATATACCATGTGTCAGTGTTTCTAATTTGCATAACCTTTACTAGTGTTTCCAGCAAGTCTGAGATAGGCCAAGAAAGAAGAAATGAATTTGCATTTTTTATATAAAGGCAAAGATGATTATGAGGTCATAATAGTAACCTACCAACTGTATAGTTGAAGTAGATTTGTCTCTGCCTGAATGGCTGTTTGATTCACATTTCACTGGAAGGTCACGGGAATGCCCCGAGTGCTCATTATCTAATGAAGGGCCCTGCTGGATGAAGATGCTTTGCAATTAGTTCTGAAGCTAGATGAATGGAAACAGGTGCCACTTTGTCAGTTAGTTTCATGTTGAGACTTTACAATTAACATGACCGATATACATGATTGTCTTTTAAAATATTAGATGAATGTTAGTTCTGATAAACATTTACAGATGCTCTGCGAAATGTACATCATAAACCACCATACTTTTCAGTAAATTAGTTCTCAACATTAGATCAACATTTATACTGAGAGGTTCACAAATTCGTCTTAATAAATAATGTAATGGCTTTTAAAACCTCAACATAGTTGAATTTAAAGGTAAAGGTAAAGGTTCCCTTGCTCGAAAGCCAGTCGAATCCGACTCTAGGGTTGCGGTGCTCATCTCCGTTTCAAAGCCGAAGAGCCAGCGCTGTCCGGAGACATTTCCGTGGTCATGTGGCCGGCATGACTAAACACCAAGGCGCACGGAACGCTGTTACCTTCCCACCGAAGTGGTACCTATTTATCTACTTGCAATTTCTTGCTTTCGAACTGCTAGGTTGGCAGGAGCTGGAGCTAGAGACAGGAGCTCACCCTGTCTTGCGGAACCCGGGTCTTGAACCGCTGAACTACCGACCTTCCACAGCCTGCAGTTCAGCGTCTTAACCACTTGAGCCACCGCAGCTCCTTAGTTGAATTTACATCACTCTTAAAATCTAACCCAGTTTAATCATTAAATACAGTAAAATCTGATTCATTTAAGGGCACTGGGGGAAATCCAAAGCAGCCAATATTTATTAAAGTATGGAAAAATAAAATTGCCATTTCCAGAATGGCTACATTGCTGTGGAACTGTATCAGGTAAAGCTGTGTGTGTGTGTGTGTGTGTGTGTAAAGTGCTGTCAAGCTGCAGCTGACTTATAGAGACCCCAGCAATGGGGTCTCTATAAGTCAAGTGAGAAGCAGAGGTGAGAAGCAAGTGAGAAGCAGAGGTGGTTTGCCATTGCCTTCCTTTGCAGAGCTTTTTTTGGTGGTCACCCTTCCAAGCACCAATCCTTCTTAGCTTTTGAGATCTTATACCATGCCGCCTCCCACCCACCCCCCTCAAGTAAAACTATCATGTTTGAATAACAAATTATCATCCGGCTTTTTAAAAACCTTTTTGTTCTTGTACACAATTCTCCTTTGGGTCCAAGTCCAAATTTCCCTGAAGGTTTGGGTATGTAAAATATTAGCAACAGAAACTTAGTCATTTGAAGTAACATTTAATATCCTTCTGTGGAGAGATTTAGTGGAATATCTCATCTTGTGTTATGTGGTATTCTTAAGATACAAAAGGGGAGGAAGGTAATACATTCAGATACATGAGGCAAAAACATAAAGAATCAAAACCTCAAAGAGCTGTTCCGTAAAAAAGAGAAAAAGAAATTTACTGTGGCCCAATATATTTCAACCCATAAAAATCTTTTGGGGTATAAACCGACCAGTGTTTACACCACAATCCTCTGTAGCTCTGCATAGAATTGCAGTTGAAAAAATGGTTTGGTCCCCCAAAAGATCCTTCTGAACGGAAATGTATTGGCCTACAATCATTTTGGATTTGGTATTTTAAAATTTTATTTATTGTTATTTTTTATAACGAATATTATTAAAAGTTTACAAATGAAGAAGGAAAAGGAAAACCACAAAAGGAAAATACAGTTGTAGCAATTATAAGAAAACAGAAAAAGGAATAACTTACAATTCATTCAATTATTTATTTTTGGAGCACCTCTTTGAGGTTTTGCCTTTCTTCTCCCTCCCCCATTCTGAGATGCCACAGTATTTGCATATACCAGAGTAAGTAAAGACAAGACTGCTCTCCCACACTGGTTCCGAGGCAGAGTTGTGATCTGCAGTATTATGTAGTGACCTGGCAATTCTTAGTTTCTTCTAGGAAATTGCTTTGCCTGTTTTTGTAGATCTTTGTAAAGCAAGAATTAGATGTGAGACTTACTAAAGTGAAATGTGACAGGTTGTCTGATTATTGTGCAAAAAGGAGATGATAAACAACCTCATACCCTTAAGACCTTCAGGCAATGAACACAAAGATTCATGGCAGATGGTCTGAAGGTCCATACTACAGATATTGGTTTGATTGGCCATCACAAAAAAAGAAAGATGTACAGTCTTGTAAAAGACAACAGGAAAACCTGGGGGGGGGGGCTTTCTCTTTGGTAGATCACAGCCATCATGTAAACCTATTGCAGCTGGCATAAAAGGTAAAAGAAGACAGGAGGAACCTCACGTCGCTATTACGCTCTGGGAACAGTTTGTCATGGCTAAAATTACAGACCTAAATTGAGAGGCCCAGACACCATACACCACATCACACATGAAATTTAAAAGGCTCTGGTCACCGGTGGTGAATTATATGCCGAAACACGAAATACTTCCCACAAACCTCAATTATCATAGGTGGTTGTTCTTATAACACATCATCAATTTCATTATTTGAATAGATGTATAAGTCTACATCTACTGTTCGGTCTCTAACACCCACTTACGGTACAAAAGTTCAGAGTAGCCATAAAATAAAATAAAGAGTAAATTATAGTCAACACGATCATCAAGGTTTTTACCCAGGATCCTTATAGTTCAGAGTTTAACCGTTACATACAATGATTACAGCTCTTATCTCCCTTTGTTGTATACCCTCCTGTCGTTTTCGAGTTTGTGATATTTCTTTTTCTGTATTCAACTGTACTATTAAGTAAAAGAATAAAAATATTTTAAAAAGGCAAATGATACCAGCACTAGCCTGAAGTCATTGCTATCTATGGCTAGCTAGCTATAGCTGTCAATAACAAGCATACAGTGTTCTGTGTTTTGTGGTTGTTGTTTGTATCCAGGAGATTCTAAACATTAGCAACTATATTATTTTACATATTATTAAACTTTGATAAAAGAAAGTTAATTTAAAAACAAAAGACAAATGTGATTATAGAAAAATGAACACTGACCCATAAAAACTGCTCAGAAAGCAAAAAAATATTTTAACTGTTAATGAACAACATATTTGTCTTTCCAAGCAGTTATCAAAAATTATTGAGCAAATGAAAAAATTAACTTGCATGGTCATGTGGTGACACCAAAAGAACAAATCCCTTTTCAATCAGAAAAAATACATGAATTCCTCCAATCAAAGCCAGCATCTTCCAGACATGCACTTTTCCTCCATAGAAATATTCAGTTTCTTGTGCTTCATGTGTGTGTAAACCAAGAATCTAGAAATAAAGCAAGCAGATAATTATTTTATGATTTGTTGTGATATTCTCCTTTGATCTTATTAGCAATTCACTGTCTCAGTTAGATCAAAGGAGCCATATTTAAGAACTTTCAACACTTATTTGTTAGCTTTTCTGGCTCTTTCAAGATGCTTGACATATTTTATTTATAGGTTTATATCCCTGTGAACCAAAACACTGTGTCTTGCTTACATATAGACCTATTATGCAACTGTGTTTTCCATCACTTTCAGCGTACATGTCTGTTGAGTCCCCCCCCTTCTGCATACGTTTTTTCCCCCTTTAGTTCCGCCTTGCTTTCTGGTTGGTTTTTCCTCGCATTTTCTGAGAGCACTGTTGTGGTGAGTTATTTTTTCGATCACTTCAAGATCAAAGCAGAACCAAGAGCATAACAACTCCATTGTCAGCCCTCTTCTGCCCCTTGATGCCTACCCCCCCCTGCCCACATCAACATTGTTCCAGCCATTCAACCACCTTGCTCCATCCCCCTCCTTCAGTGCGATACAACCACTTTTAATTTTGTAAAAATTTAGTGGTATGTGACAAGCAAATAAAATGATAATGAAGGCTCTAAATCCCCAGTACCCATTTTTGTTTATTTGTTTGTTTTGTGGTGAAAATTAAGCAATAGGACACTAGTGTAATGGCCACCTCCCATCTGTTCTGGTTTTTAAAATTTTTGTAATTCAAGTTTGCTCTACTATATTCTCGTAATTATTTTATTAAATGATTTCATTGAACGCATCCAATTAGGACTTAGGCAGTCACTCATATTTAATGTCGTGAATTGTGCCAGCATGTGCAAAACAAAGAATCTCAGTGCCACACTGGTGATGAAATTTTAAAAAACCAAACAACCAATCATAAATTGATGTTTTAAATAAACATGGTAAAGGTAAAGGTTCCCTTGCTCGAAAGCCAGTTGAGTTTGACTCTAAGGTTGCGGTGCTCATCTCCGTTTCAAAGCCGAAGAGCCAGCACTGTCTGAAGACGTTTCCGTGGTCATGTGGTCGGCATGACTAAGCACCAAGGCACACGGAATGCTGTTACCTTCCCACCAAAGTGGTACCTATTTATCTACTTGCAATTTCTTGCTTTCGAACTGCTAGGTTGGCAGGAGCTGGAACTAGAGACAGGAAGCTCACTCCGTCTCGAACTGCTGAACTGCTGGACCTTCCACAGCCTGCAGTTCAGTGTCTTAACCACTTGAGCCACCGCAGCTCAAGTGTTACACACCAGCAAATTATCAATAATGCGCAGATGCAAAAAAAGGCAATAATGGGTTCTATTTCTTTTTGCAGAGTATCACTAGAGAGCATGCACAAACAAAAAAAAGTGCAAGGGAATGATGAAGCTGTGGTGCCTCTGACCTGGTGACACAAGCCATTCCATCAGAAAATCCATATAATTGCTGCATGTGCAATAACCTCACTCAATGCACAATGCAAATTACTCTGAAGGGAAAGTGGAGATGCAAAACAAATTGCTGAAATTGAATCAGAAATTTGTGGATCAAAAGCACAGAAAATCAAAAGTAAGCAGAGTATGAGTATAAAGCCATACACACACATGCTCAACATAATGGGAGTTTTTCCCTGGCATGTACAGCTAAACAAATTTGATGGCAGGAAAACTTAGATAGAGGGCATTCCAGATTCAATTTATTTATTTATTTATTTGTTTGTTATTTTGATTTATACCTCGCCCTCCCCGCGAGCGGGCTCAGGGTGGCTAACATTAGTCGGTACCCAGTACCATAAAACCATATACAAAGCTTAAAACATTTAAATATAAGCATTGACAGTAAACATTAAAACATTAGAACACTCCAATAATTAAAGTGCTAGTGATGGTAATGGTTCTTTCCAACTTAGTGATCTTCAGCATAGAGCTATGATGTAATATGCTTTCCAGACCAGGGCCGGCCCGTAACCATAGATGGTGGTGGTGTGGCGGCTCCTAATTGAAAGCCTGGTGGAAGACCTCCATCTTGCAGGCCCTGCAGAACTGCAGAAGGTCTTGCAGGGCCCTGATCTCTTCCGGGAGCTCATTCCACCAGTATGGAGCCACCACTGAAAAGGCCCTGGCCCTGGTGGCAGCAGCCTGGCATCCTTAGGTCCTGGAACGGTCAGTCGGTGTTGTGTTCCTGACCGTAGTGCTCTCTGGGGTATATATGGGGAAAGGCGGTCCCGCAGGTATGTCGGTCTCTGGCCATATAGGACTTTAAAGGTCAAAGCCAGCACCTTGAAGCAAATTCGGTATGCTACTGACAGCCAGTGCGGTGCCTTCAGCACAGGCTGGATGTGCTGCAGCTTCCGGATTTGTGACAAGGGCAGCCCCATGTAGAGAGCATTACAGTAGTCTAGTCTCGAGGTGACCATCGCATGGGTCACTGTAGCCAGGTCGTCACGGCTGAGGAAGAGAACCAACTGCCGAATCAGCCAAAGATGGTAAAAGGCCTACTTAGCAGTGGCTGCTACCTGGGCCTCCATTGTTAAGGAGGCGTCAAGGAGCACTCCCAAGCTCCTAACTTCTGGCACTGGTACCAATGGTGCCTCACTGAAGGTCGAGAGTGGGAACCCTGCCCCCAAACCGCCCCAACTCAGGCACAGGACCTCCGTCTTCACCAGGTTCAGCTTCAGCCAACTCAGTCTGAGCTGAAGGTGCCACTATGGAAAAAGCTCTTTCTCTGGTCACTGTATTTCTGAGGGTGCAGCCATACAGTGCAGGCCTTCTGATGCAGATCTTAACTGGGGGTTTTGTTTGTTTGTTTTTGCTGCAGATAATAATATTGGGCACCAAGCTGCCAATGCCAGATTCTTCACTCTGATTGAGTTGATTTGTTTAACTGGAGCATAATCAACCTCTGGCATTACTATTACACATAAAATCCCCCTCTGCCAGGTAGGTGAAGGAAGCCAGAAGGAAGATTTTTATGATGACAGGTCTCTCTGCCTTATCCCAAAGATGGCCTGAATAGCTCCAAGTTTCTAACATCAGTGCATTCTTGGTACAGCTAGGAGTCATACTACGGATGGGCTTAGAAAGGTTCCCCTTTGTTGCAACCAGCTGTCCAGTAGTGTAAGAGTGGGATATATGTGTGTGGCCTTTACATATCCACCTCTCAACCCAAGTATGGGACTCTAAGTTTGTGCACACCTAGGTATGTACTTGCAGTGATATATGGGGAAAATACAATGGAAGACAAGAAATAGGGTAATCTTTAAACTAGCTGAATCAATCTTTATTGCATACAGTGACAGAAAGCAAGTAAGAAAGACATAAAAAGATGCAATGCAAAGAAATCAATGTTACACACAAATACAGGGAATGCAGTAGAGAGCAATTTAAGCAGTTACGATGCGTGAGATGTGTCCACCCAGAGCTAGTTCAGGTAAAACCCACCCATGGATGTGTGTGCAGTATCTCCAATGAGAAGAGGGACCAGAAGGAAGAGGAGGTATGACTGATCCAAGAGGGAAGGCTTGAGATTGAATTGGACACTGATTGTGGAGGATAAAACTGCACAGTTAAATTTCCTTCACCAGGGTTCTGAGAAGAATGGAAGTTGCTTCCACAGGAATGAATTATTTGTATGGATCATTTTTACCCAGTTGACACCATCCCTCCTCCCAGCATGATACCCAATGTGTGGAAAGGTCTCCCCAACAGAGGGGAAAGCGCCCTTGGGGTCATTTGGGCTCAGAAAACAGCAAGGTGGAAAGGACAAAGTCCCTTCTTCCTCCGCACCACAATCCCAACCTGAATTGGACCCCTGCAGTACTTCTAAATGGAGTTGCCACTGGGAAGGAACTTGCAGCTACAATATAGCTGCAAGTCCCCATGGTGCACTTGTGTAAAAGGTAGCTTGTAGTTTGGCCCTAAAGTATGTAGTATATTGCAGAACTCTTTCACAGACATTCATAATTGCATGAAATGTTTTAATGTTGACATATTCTGATTCTAGATAAAAATATAGAAATGTTTAAAAAGCACTTAACAGTTGCAGAACAATGCAAAAAAAATCCTACATGAATGAGCATAGTTATTGATTATCTAGCACTTTACCTTAATGTATACTGCCTGCCACCAGTATTTTCTACCAACAATATCAGTGCAAATAGATATTCCATTTTAAATGTTTAATGTCTGGCTGTCTGACAACTAACTTGTATCTGCATACTATGTAAAAGTCCTGTAACAGTCCCATCAGAAGCAGACCAGCTATTTAAATTACAGGAAAATCTCCCAGTAGATCACCAATCCAGCATTGACGCCAGATTTGGAGGAGGAGGCAGGGGATGATGCCCATTGTTGGTGCTGCTGGTTTGGTCTGAGCTGAGAGGCCCTTTCAGCACTGGCTTATGGTGCCACAGGGGCCATTCAGCTTGTCCTACTCCTGGGTGATTTTAACTTTCCAGTCTACTATGGAAGTCTTACTGACTTTAATGAGCTGGAAACACAACCTGACTTTCTTAAATTACAGTTATTGAAATTTTGCTTGCTCTGTGTATATAAAACACACCACTAGACTAAAGGAGTTCTAAGAAAGGTAGAGTATAGCAAATAGAAGTTTCAGTATAAAGGGACATTTTACATCTGAGCATGCCAGCACGAACCATACCTGTGGAATAAGATGTAGCAGAGCATCTCCAGAGAGGGTTCCTACTGCTAACCCCACAAAAAGTTGTAAAACAAGAGTGTAGCTTTCTTGACAGGAATTGAATAGAATGAGAGCTGTGCCAAACATTGATCCAAGTGTAATAAGTAAGACTGCAGCAGTGCTGTATCCATATTCTGCACAGAAAATAGACAAAAAACAAGAGCGCTTAAAACCATGATTGTTATAATGAAATGAACTCAAAAGGTCATTTTTTGAAAGCCAACATACAAGTGAAAGAACTCATTAGATGAACGCCAAGTCCCACAGATTATCAAAGCACTTATGTCCACGTAAGTATTTTCAGAAGAGGATTAGGGAAGACTGTGATTCTGTGGCAGGTGAAGCAAAGAAAAGAAATAAGCAAAGCTGAGTAGGTGAACCTAGGTCAGGCAAAATGAAGGCAAGTTGAGAAAAGAGGATCCAGTGAATCAGAAGGATATATTAGCCTCACCTGGTGTAAGACAATACATTGCACAGTTGGAGAAAAATATGATGTGTGACTGCTTATCTAGGGCAAACTAATGGATTGAAAATACTCTGATGTGACACCTATGCTATTAAGTAGATACTGAGGTATGAAAAAATATAAGCAATGTATTAGAAGTAGGGTTGGATCAATGTCACTCAGTCCATTCAATACTTGTCCTGAGATTTTGCTGCATCAAAAATTCCATTCTTAATTTTTTTCCATATAGCATGTATCTTTGTTTTTTTAAATAATACACACATTCAACACATAAACATACATACATACATACATACATGGGGGGAGATCTTTCACGTAATTATAATACTTGTACCTAATAACTAAACCATGGCCTCGGTCACACAGGCCGGATATCGCGGGGGGGAGGGGTGGCTGTTTGCCCCAGGGCAAAATAACGCGCGGTTGCGCCAGCAGACGTACCGTGGAGGTCCCGTGGAAGGGGGGAGGTGCCAAGCACACCACAATCCTGTGCCATGGCAAAGAAGCGGCGCGGCAAATGGGTGTTTTGTTTTCCGGACACCAAAGTGTGTGCATGCCCCGTTGGGTGCTTGTGCACATCCCATGGACAGTTGAAAAGAAAACACCTTTATACGAGGGGGCATGGGCGGGCGCCGGAACTACCACCGGAAACGTGATCAGACGCCCGCCCTTGCCCCGCGGTTACCGGAAACTAGTACCTCCGAGGTACTAGTTTTTAACCGTGCGTCTTCGGCAGGAAGCCTCGGGTTCACCACGGGAGCTCTATGCTTCCCAGATGTGGCGGTGAGATCGCGCCCGGAAAATCCGCCTATCTTCCGTCTCTCTAGTGTGCCTAATGCTCCGTGTGACCGCAGCCCATATTGGTCAAATGTTGATCTAAAAAAAAATTAGTCTTTTGTTGCCAGTATAACAAACTCTCTTCTCTGTATCCTCACATGTATTGTTTGACTATATAATCTTTGTTTTTGTGTATATTTAACATTTTAAATATTTGCTACAATCTATAATCCCATACCATGCCAACCTAGCAGTTCGAAAGCAAGAAATTGCAAGTAGATAAATAGGAGCTGCGGTGGCTCAAGTGGTTAAAACGCTGAACTGCAGGCTGTGGAAGGTCGGTAGTTCAGCAGTTCGAGACCTGAGTGTGCCGCATGACAGAGTGAGCTCCCATCTCTAGTTCCAGCTCCTGCCAACCTAGCAGTTCGAAAGCAAGAAATTGCAAGTAGATAAATAGGTATCACTTCAGTGGGAAGGTAACAGCGTTCCGTGTGCCTTGGTGTTTAGTCATGCCGGCCACATGACCACGGAAACGTCTTCGGACAGCGCTGGCTCTTCGGCTTTGAAACGGAGATGAGCACCGCAACCCTAGAGTCGGATTCGACTGGCTTTTGAGCAAGGGAAACCTTTACCTGTAATATATTTCAACCCATAATAATGTTTTGGGGGTATAAACCTAGCAATGTTTACACCACAATCCTATGTAGCTCTGCATAGAATTGCAGTTGAAAAAAATGGTTTGAGCCCCCAAAAGATCCTTCTGAACAGAAACCTTTACCTTTACTAATCTTTCTGTAAAGGTAACTCTTACCCCTCTGCCCCCAAATCTGGAACACACTAACATAAAAGGGGGGGAATAACTACATATGCTGTTTTGTCCTGTGAAAAGATCGACTCAAGATCAGACCAGCATATTCTGTGGATAACTGCTATGAGGGAGGAGATCAGAAGTTCTATCAGTCCTTCTGTAAAGGCCTGAAACCAAGATTTGGAATCTACTTATGAGTTAGTTTTCTCCATGTTTATTTAGAACAGTTTTAACATGCCTCTCTCTATGTAGACTCAAGGCAGCTTACAGTTAAGTACCTGAAATAATGAAATCCTGCTTGGAATAACTAAAGAGGTCCACTTAACTGATAAGGGCCAGGGTGAGTATGACAAAAGGGACTAGCTCCAGAAACTTCAATCATCCCCCCAAAGGCAAGAAGCTGATAAGGTCTTTCATACAAATACAGTTGCTTAATTTTTTTTTCCTAGAGGAGAAGTAAGTGACTCACCCAAAATATAGATATAGGGCATCAGACGACTAGAACATCCAGTCTCAAATGTACTATTCGTGAGCAATGAGTGGTTTAAATGGGTGGTAACTGGCCAACTTAAGAATTTACTGAACAAAGCATTTTTTTAGATCCATTCCAATCTGGTTTCAGGCCTGGTTATGGGACTGAAACATCCTTGGTAGCCCTGGTAGATGACATGTGCCAGAAGATACAACCATGTTAATTCTCCTGGAGCTCTTGGAGCTCATAGTATCCTTCTGGACTGTCTTTCAGGACTGGGACTGGGAGGCTCTGTTCTGTGGGGGTTCCAGTTCTTCCTTGAGGGTAGGTTTCAGAGTGGTGCTGGAGGACTGAGGCTGTGCCCTTTGGCCTTTGGCCTATGGGTTCCCCAAAGTTTCATCTTCTCCCTCATGCTTTTCAACATTTATGTAAAGCAACTAGGCTTGCCATTCCCCCGGGGGGGCGGGGGTTTGCCCACTTTAGGGGCCCCTAATCCGTCAGCCCATATCCAGCCAGCGGGGGGAACCCCACCCCCAAAGTGCCAGGATCATGCTGGACGTGATGTCATCACACTGGGTACGTTTCCGGGGGGACGCTGTAGCACTCAGCCTAAAAACTCCAGATGACGTCATTGTGGCACACACACTATGTGTGCACACCAGAACATCCAAGAAAGTAAGCTCTGTCCCCCCGCCAGCAGTAGGTAGGGACCTGGCAACCCTAAAAGCAACTGAGAGAGGTCATCCAGAGATTTGGGCTGAGCTGCTACTAATATGCAGATAACACTCAGCTTTATCTTGTGCTACCAGAGATGCTGTGGAAACCATGAACAGGTGCCTGGAGGCAGTTTTGAAATGAAACTTATTCCTGATAAAATGAAGATGGATGGGGTTGCATTCCCCTAAAGCAGCAGGTTTGTAGCCCGGGGATGTTCTATCTAGATTAGATTACTGCAATGCACTCTGTGGGGCTGCTGTGAATACTGTTCAGAAGTTGCAGTTGGAACAAAATGCTGTGGCCAGAGTGTTGATTGGAGTGGGTCATAGGGACCATAACACTTAAGTTTTGTTCCATCTAAACTGGCTTCCAATTTGTTCCTGGTTCGGTTCAAGGCACTGGTATTGACCTTTAAAGCCCTGTACAGCCTGAGACCCATATACCTTAAAGACCACCTTCTCCCACACAAACCTACTCATTCATTCCAGTCATCCTTGGAGGCCCTGCTTTGGTTGCCCCTGCCATCTGAAGTTAGACAGGTGACAATCCAAGAAAGGGCCTTCTTGATTGTGGCTCCAAAATTTTGGAACTTCCTCCCCTGGAACTCCCTCCCCTCATCTGTCTTCCTCTATTGGTGAAGATTTTTTTGTTTCATCTGGCATAATGGTTTTTTGCCCTCCTTCTAGTGTTGTTTGTTTAAGTGTTTTTATTTCTTTATTGGATTTCTATCCCACCCTCCCCTGGATTGCAGGGTTCAGGGCAGGTCACAACAATTGAATAAAACAGTTAAAACAATAAATACACAATTCCAAACATTACAATCTATACAGAACAACTAGTACAAATCATCAGATGGCAGTCAGACACAATTTAACAAATGTTCCCAGGAATTCCTAATTGTATATCTGCCCAGGTAAGTCAGATACTGGGTAAGTGGGCAAGAACCACCGCCAATAATACAAGATGGAATAGTGTAAGCAGGGTAGAGCAGGGGAAGACAATGTATTTGGACCTCCACCACCTCAACCAAAGGCCTGGCGGAACAATCCCATTTTACAGGCCCTGCAGAACTGAAGCAAATTCCGTAGGGCCCTGATCTCACTTGGGAGAGTGTTCCACCAGGTCGAGGCAAGAGCCGAAAAGGCTCTGGCTCTGGTTGAGGCTAAGCAGATGTCTTTTGAGCTGGGGATCACTAGCAGATGTTGATCTGATGAGCACAAGACTCTCTGAGGGACATATTGGGAGCCCCGGTCTTGCAGATGGTTTTTAAATTGAATTTTATAACTTTAACTGTATTTTTAAATGTTTCTTATGTTCACCTGTGGACCCTGGGTGGAAAGGCAGCAAAAATGTTTTAAATAAATAAACTTGTATTTATTCACTATATCTGAAGAGACCACAAAGTAATAAATACCTTCAAAACCCTCCCCTTCAGTTGCTCAGGCTTCTAGAAAGCTTAGCAGCTATATTAGCTTGAATCTTTGTAAAATAGTTTAATATTCAAGCTTCATTACCTCAGATGTAATCTAAGTACCTCAGTACCAAGGAAGGTACTCTGTGTTCACAAGGGTTCAGATATCACTCACTATCCTCCATTTCCCCTCATTGATAGCACAAATCCAGCTAGTTTCCCCATTGGTGAATGAACCAAAGCTGTGTGTGAAGGGAGCTGTCGTAAGGAGAAGAATGGAGCATGACTGGGGGGGGACTGGCTCATGAAAAGTTATTTCCTCCATTTTTAAGACGTTCAAACCAATGACAATCACATTCACAAAATAAACCCTGTGATCATTAATAATATATAGTTTCATAACACAACTTACTCTCTAAAGTTGTTGGTGGAGGTTTGGTTTGTTTGGGCTCCATAAACTTGCAAGAACAACTTAATAGCTGCTGAATTATTGCTGGGCTTATTTGCTTGAAGTGTTCCTTAGAAATTGGTTGATGACTGTCATGGAAAAATATTTTCACAAGCTCATTTGCAGGGAGACAAGCCTAAGTGAGACAAGAAATGTTGACTAAATACAGCACTTTGCAGCTTGAAACAACAATAGTAGATATCATCATCAATATATCTAATTCTTAACATGGCCTGATCTATGGATACTTAACATTCAAGACAGATATTTCAATAATCCTAAGAAAAGCTGCAGGTTTGCAGAAAAAAATCAAAATCTAAAAAAATAAAATAGGAATTTAAAAGGGGGTTAACTCCTCCAACTAAAAGAAGCAGCACCTGTGGTTTTAAAAATGAATGCTTTCTTAATATCTCAATGGCAGCTACAGCAATATTGCCAGCCTTGATTTCTGTCAGTAAGAGGGAGGGCAGGGTTCTTTTCAGGGATGTTTTGGCTTTTGATAGACAGCTCATTGGGTCCAGGCTTGACAGCAACCACAGAAAAAACTTATTACCATATGACTTGCAAGACTCACAGAGGACTGGCTGCTTATTACTGTTCATGAGCAGCCACCCCACAAAAGCCAATACAGTATAGCAGTTAGCATTTCAGACCACAATCTGGGACACCTAGGTTCAAATCACCACTCTACTGTGGAAGCTCACTAGATGACTTTGTTACATAGGGTTGCCAAGTCTTAGCCACCTGCCACCGGGTGACTCCTGGCTTCTCTCCAGGTTCTTCTTTGCGCATACACCATGATGACATCACCTGGAAGTGACATCACTGCGCTGGGTACATTGTACAGGGGACACTCTAATATTTGGTTAAAAACTCTATGGTCACCACAGAGTTTTTAGCCAAATGTTAGAGTGTCCCCCGCACAAAGTGCCTGGCACAATGACATCACCTCCAGGGGAAATTGGGGGGAAACCCACCCCCATCAGGGGGTTAGCAACCCTATTGTTAAATCTAATTCGCAACATGGCACGAGCTGTGGATCCTTAAATCCAGAGATTGGGACCATGCAGAGAGAAAGGAAAAGTTTCTTCAAACCAGCAGAAACCACCACATGTTAGAAAATCTGAAACTGAAAGAAAAAGTTAAAGAGAATTTTTAAAAGCCCCCAAACCTACTTACTGGGGAAAACCCCAAGGTCTTGTGACACCATGTTGCAAGGTCTTGGCAGACATTTTGAGAAAGGACAAGCCAAGGACCGAGATGGGGAGGAAGGCTGAGCAGGTGTCTGGGTTGGCAAGTGGAGGAGCAGAGTTAGCAGTAGGGGAAGGTGAGAGGGTGTGTCACGGGCGATGGTGAGGGGGAGCTGACAGCTTCAGCAGAACCCACAGCTGACCCCTCTGAAACTTCAGAGATGGACAGTTTGCCTTCGCCGCCCACATCATCACCTGGCTTGGCACCAGCTGTCAAGGAGCAGCTACATGTAGAAAGCCCCCCCAACTTGCCTCTGCAGGTTGCTCGCCTAAGAGAGCAATTCCGCCAGGACTTGGCGACCCGGCAGCGTGAGCTTGCGGAGCAGACGGTCATTCAGCCTTGAGTTTTGACAGACACCTGGCTGCTCGTGCCATTCGCTAATTGGAAACAGCAGCGGAGGGTTATTTAGCTTCATTCTCCAGGCTGGCTTCTTCGTGGAAGCAACTAGTCAACCTCGTGATGCTCTTGCATCCACTACGCCTCCAGTTTTCAGGCTCAGTTCCTGCTCAGATCTCTCGGCTTTCTGACCCTGACTCTGAATGACCCCACTCCTGGTTTTGTGCTTTGGGCTTTAATTACTTTTTGGCTTAGACCCCAAACTGGACTTGGACTCTCCCCTGCCTGCACCCCAGCCCTTGACAGGGTGGGCAAGCAGAAGGGGGAGGAGTAAACGTGAGTGAGTGAGTGGGGTAGCAGTAAGATACTGCTGCTGCCACAGGGGTCCCCTGCAGTGTTCCCTCTAAGCTGAGTTCGTGTGAGCCAGCTCAGTTTTTTAGCCTCCGGCTCACACATATTTGTCTCAGCTCAGGAAGGTTGGCTTCAGAGCAGACTAATTGATGCAACCACCAAGTCGCTCGCTCACAGCTTTAATGCCAGTAGCTCACAAAGTAGATTTTTTGCTCACAAGACTCCACAGCTTAGAGGGAACATTGGTCCCCTGTCCCTCATGAGAGTCCATGTGGTGACACTTCTGAGAGGAAGGCGCAGGAGCCTGAGCTGCTGCCACCACATGAGCCAGGATTGCAGAGACAACAACACTGCTGATGGGGGGAATGTGAGCCTCTCCCTGCTGCCACTGCCACATGAGCCAGGCTGGAAGAGGAGGCAGTACTGCAGGCGAGCCAGCAAGAAGAGCAGGAGCTGTCCTCCTGGCTCCACCCATTACTAGCAACTGCATGACCCAGGCAGGTGGAAGTGGCAGTGTTGCAGGTAGGTGGACTGGACATCAAGCAGCTGGCCTGGTAAGTGAGTACCCTGTTTCCCCGAAAATAAGACCTACCCCAAAAATAAGCCCTAGCAGGATTTCTATGCATTTGTGGTATAAGCCCTAGTGTGTCTTCTTGAGAAAAAATAAATATAAGACAGTGTCTCATTTTGGGGAAAACACGGTAGGGGAGAGTTGGGATCACCCATATCAGACTTGTGGGTCCTTCACTTGTATAGTGCATCTAAAAATGACATTAGCTGATAAGACTTAGATCTGTAAAATGGAGTCTAAAGAAAATCCACAGATTGCTCCATTTACAGTTTTAGATTAAATGAAAGGTTGCATTCTTAACTGGCAGGACTCTCTAACTATATGAACATCACAGTACTAGAAAAGGACACTTGGGCGTGCCTAGAAACTTCTTACTTGGCAGATTTTCAAGGAAAGGTTAGACGGGCATCTAATCAGAATGTCCTCTTGTTTTATAGTAGGAAATATTAAATCAAGCAGTAGCTCAGGTAGTCTTGAGCTACTTGAGTTATATGTGAAGTATCTCTGTAGGACACAGTAATGGAATAATTTCAACAATAGAAATTCATCCGTAATTTCTTTTTTGTCCAGAAGCTGGGTATCATGATTCATTGCCATTGCAAATAGCAAGGCCAGCTCGATTTTTGTGCATATTTGGATCTGGTCCATGGGGTCACGAAGAGACGGACTCAACTGTGCGACTGAACAACAACAACAATTCTGAAATACAGTTTTTAAAAATTATATAGAATATTTTGTTTTTATTATGGAGCACTAAATTAAGAGTATTCTGTAACAAATATATTTACCTGAAGATCAGTGACCTATTTCTGTGGCATTTTATCTGAGGCAATTAACTTTTGTGTCTTAATTTAACTAACAGCAGGAAAACCCTGAACCATCTGTTACTAATGAAAATCAATGGTTTTCTTATGAACATGGAAAAAACCAGGATAAATTTTAGTAACAACATAAAAATGTAGTCCTCTGAGCAATAACCTTCTCAAAGGAATATCTATGTATTTAACAAGACAGTTAACAGAAGCCAAAATACAGGTAGATTATAAAATGTGCGCCTTTCTCCAAAACTGCTTTCTTCTTTTATAACCCAATCCAAAACCCATTTAATCTCCATTCTTTTTTTAAAAAATAGCCAAGTAAGTCCAAAAGGTTATTTAATTGGGTAAATTGTTTGTAAATGATATTGTAGATAATATTGCCCATTCCATAGATGCTTCTTACCTGCTCCCATTTAATAGTGTTTTCATTTGCTTCTTGATAACTGGTCATAATTATCCCATTATCTGGCTTTGTTACAACTGGAATATTTTGATGTTCAGCATCTGTTATTCTTCTGGGGTACATTTGTCCATTTGAGCTGCAATTCTTTCCAGCCCTTAGCATGCTCAGAAGCTGGTCTATTGCTAAGAGAATTCATTAGAAAAAATGGGATTACTTACTAAACTAAGAGGATAAAAATATTTTGTTTCTATAAAGTTATAATTGTAGTGCCTATAATTATTTCTGTTGTGTCAGCTGTTACTACTGTAGATACTATGATTGATACATTAAATGAGGTATTTATGTTTTTATTTTACTCATTTATGTTACCAATATTTCTATCTCGTCTCTTCTAATTTTTGTTCAAGGCAGTTTCCAATAATAGAAATGCAGACAGCCACATTGTGGTGCTTCTAACCACCACACCACACTGGTTGTTCAGTAAGGAGAGCATATTTGTGGTACATCTGTTTCAAATGTAGAGGTTCTTATACACACTTGGAGAATGATTTGAAACTAGAAGAAAATGCGAAATAACACCTGTCCTTTCCTATGAATGTCATATATTCTGAAATCTTGGTGGAACAAGAAACAGGATGGTAGTGAATTGTATAGCTAGATGATGTGTGATTACAAACCTGGTACTGCTTGTAATCCTGGTCCTAAAGAAGAGGCACTGTACTCAGCTAGAAAAACTATCAGTCTGTCCTAATGGAGTCTAATTTAGTTTCTGAAACAAACCAAGATTTTCCCTAGCAAATTAAACCACCTACATTCCATATGCAACATAATTCATTATACTGGCCCTGAAAAGTTTAAAGGAGAGAAGCACAATTTGTCATCCAGTTCTCTTTGAGAGGAGGCCAGCTCAACAAATATTTCACATAAATGAGATAACTAAATCCTGGAGCAATGGTTCTGAAGTGTAAGCTTCCTGTCAACATATTGTCTATTACCCAGCTTTAGCTATGACCAACTTCACGCAAACTACAGGAAGTGTGGAGACTTCTTGCAACCATATCTATATGTCAAGGATTAGTCATCCTTGCTGAGAGTCTTAATGTTCAAGTCTGGGTTTTGCCCATCTGTTTGGTTTCCCGTCATACCACCACAAAACATTATTGTTTGAATGACCTATATTTGCACATATTTACGGTGTGATCTGCATCATCGTTAATTGCGACATGGATGCAGTTTCAAGGGATCTCTGCTGCGTGTGTATGTGTGTTTGTACAGTGGGAAATTGTCAAAAATTTATTTAAAAAGACAGAACCATCGTAACTGCACAAAACTCCACAGTTCTACATATATTCCAGTCCATATACAAAGCTATCAGCTACCATGGCTTGCCCATTTCCTGCAATTCCACAAAAGCAGTCCTTGATATGGCAGAAGCTGGGGAAACCTCTGTGGTTATGGAGCTCCTCAACTGTTCATGCAACTCCAGTTTTTAGAACTATTTGTTTGGGGTTTTTTAATCATAATATGTGAACATTTAAAAAAATATTGTGCAAAAAAACAGTCAGAGGTGTTGCACAGATGGCCTTCCTGTAAAAAACCTATTTCACAGTTACAATGGCATCCCATCTGCCAAAGAAGGTCCTAAGAGTTAAAAAGACATTGTGCTTCAGAATGTTATTGTGTTCTTTTCTCTCTCTCATTCTGAATTTTTCCTCTACTGTACTTGTGCTGTACCTTTCTTCGACTGTACTTACTTCTCTCCTGTTCTGCAGGCTTTATTCCTCTTTCTCTACTCAGGTCATAACAACTGCCTATTCCACCTCAGAAAGACAGATTTCGCACCAGTGCTCCAGAGTATTTATGCTTGCTCTTCTGAACACTATTTTTAATCAAAGCCACTAACAGAGATTTTATTTATTTATATTTACATTTATATCACGCCCTACGCCAAAGGCTCAGGGCGGCTAACAGGGGCACAAAGTGCCAGGTTAAAACAATAACATGTTAGATTAAGGTACATAAGCCACTCTACCTGTTACATGGAGTTCAGTAGTGCTGTTTAGAGAACTGAAAATATAGCTCGTGAAGAATTCTGGTGAGGGTAAATGTAATTTACCCAGGCAGGCTCCTTGTAGAACAGATGTAAGAATGGCAGCAGCCAGACGGGGAAGTGTATTTGCATCAGCTCCATTGCTGGTCAGGACACCAGTTTCATTCCCTAGAACATGAACACACTGAAAATGGAAGAAAATTAGATTAATGCTTAGATGATCACATTGTACTATAAATAATGGGATGGGAAGGAGGGATGGTGTTTTCATACATGAAGCTTAATGCAAAACTTGCCTTGGCTAGATGTTCAGATAAAATTCAGTCTTGGAGAATTCTGTAGTTATTTATTTTCTCTACATGGGGCTGCCTTTGTTGCAAATCCAGAAGCTACATCTGGTGCAGAATGCTGCGGCCAGGTTGTTGGTGGGCACCCCGAGCTGGGAGCACATCCGACCTGTGCTGAAAGCGCTGCACTGGCTGCCTATAGCATACCGGATTCGCTTCAAAGTGCTGGTGCTTACCTTTAAAGCCCTACATGGCCAGGGTCCAACTTACCTGAGGGACCGCATTTCCCCATATATTCCCCAAAGAGCACTTCGGTTGTGATCGCAACACCGGCTGGTTACCCCAGGCCCTAGGGAGGCCAAGCTTGTGGCAACAAGGGCCAGGTCTTTCTCTGTGGCGGCTCCTACCTGGTGGAATGAGCTCCCGGAGGAGATCAGGGCCCTGTGGGACCTTGTGCAGTTCCGCAGGGCCTGCAAGATGGAGCTCTTCCGCCAAGCTTATGAGTAGAAGCCACCACGGCCACTTCCACCACTGCTTCTCTATTGAGAGAGATCACTGGGGGGGGTAACATCTTCCATCACCCCAGCCTTCCCCCCTGTGCGCAAGATGTTAGGAGTCTAATTATGCATCTGTAGAACTGATTTTAAATTGTTTTAATCTTGTATTTATATTTGTATACTGAACGCACCTGGTGCCTTATGTGAGCCGCCCTGAGCCCGTTCGCGGGGAGGGCGGGGTATAAATGTCATAAAAATAAATAAATAAAATTTTAGAATTTGAGCGGTACAACCCCGAGGTATACATTTGATTAGGGAAGCTTTGACTCTCTAAAGGTTATGCCCTGGGATTCTTACTGGTCTTTAATGTGAAATTTAAAATTATTTATACAGAAAACAACACATAATTAAAACCATCAAGTGTTGTCCCACAGTCAGTCAGTGCAGCCCAACATCTTTCAGAACATGAACTTTTTCAATGTAGTATGGAAGGCCTACAGAATTAGTACCACTGCTTTCCATGGGGAAGCCGATACCAAGTTTGTGGGCAATAGCTAAAGGAGCCTCCGGTGGGCCCTAGGCTCATTTCAAAGAAAGACAGTTCCCCTCAGGAGGGTACCATCTTTGGATATGAAAGATTAATTAGGTGGATATGGAAGAAGGTGATTCTTTAGGTTCGTTGAATCTAGTCCATTAAATGATTAAAAGGTAAACATTGGCATGTGGAGCCCAGGAGCAAACTGGCAGCCGATGCAATTAACATAGAACCTGCTTGTTCTGTTCCTTGCAGTTGCGCCAATGTGAATACTCCAATTAAGAAATGGACTAATTAGAAACTGAGCCCAGGCCTCTCCAAAATGGGCTCAACGTATAATAGTTGGCTTAGCCTTAACATGCTTTAACTTCTCTTCCATTTGAAGAACTTATGTTTAAAGAGGAATATATCTGAATGGTTTATTCAGGTGAATATTACCAAATCTTTATCCACAGCATAAAAAGAGCTTCCTGCTATGTTCAAAGGTTTTGCTGGTGACATAGTGTTGGCAGGGTATCCTATTGTGTTTACCTGTGAACATTAGAAAGTAAAATCCTTGCTTTTGAACCACCTGTGCAAAAGTACCTTGCCCTCATTGCACTGGTGATATAGAAGCTGCAATGTTCACTAGAAAGGGGATCAAGAGATGGAAAAGGAGAAAGATTGTCTGGAACAATAATTTTTAATCAGAATTCATTCAGAAATTATGCTTTATGTTGTCAATGGTTCATCTACGGTGTAAGACTATCACTACTTTTAGAACACTGGGATGAGGATTTAGAGGAAATGTAGATATATTCTTGGCAGTTCTCATCATCTGTTTCAATTAGCCCATATGGATTATGATGATAAATCATTTACAGTGCAATTCAAAATTTGATGTATTACACTGATCCTTTACGGTATGCATTAAGTCTCTCCTATCTTTCCTGTTCTTCCTTGGGTTCCCCCATTTCTTTATGTTGTTTTGCACCTAACTACTGTCAGGGTTTTGGGTGTGTGTGTGTGGAAAAAGAGATGCTGGAACTCTCAAGAGGGAAATGAAGTTTTCAATCTGTATACTGAACACTCATGAAAGTTTAAACATTTTTAAAAGAATTTTGTCAAAGAGGTTCCGGAACTCTGTTCCGGCCTATTCTCCCAGGGAAAAAAAGCCCTGACTGCAGTACTCTTTCAGGTCCCTCTATGAAGTGAATTGCATTTTGTTACAGTCTGCAGACACACAAATATGCTGCATATTTCAAAGATCTGCTCTTAACCTGCAGTTATTATGAGTTGTCTCTTACCTGAATGAATGAACTCTCAGCCTGTCACCTAAATGGAGCAAGCCGTTCTAATTAATACTTTAGTGAGCTGTGATATATTTATTGCTAATTTATGTAATAAATATTTGTTTACAACAACAAAAATACAGTCCACAGTCAACAAAGACCAAGAACAACCAACAAATAACAACTGTGTACTGATCAACCCACCCAAGAGCAATAAAAGAGAGACTACAATACAATGCAAAACATGTAATCCATCATAGGACAATACATGAATATAATCCAGAATAACAGTCTCCTGAAACCCAATCTGGAATAGGTGTCCACAATGAAGTCAGGTACACTTTACAGAAGTCAGATGTCCAATCCTTTTCAACACTTTTCCTAGGTACAAGAAGTGTTTCGGACTTCAGGTCCTTCCTCAGGAGCTATAAGCCAATCCTGTAAGTCTCTTAGCAGATTCTTAATAAGTACAATCATTCAGGTTTTAAGTGGGCTAGGTCTCCTATATTTTAGAAAGCACCTGTAAGGGTTGCTACTACGTAAGTTGGACCAAACAGCCTCCTATATTTGTTTTACATTATTTAATTTTCAACTGTCTTTTTGGATCTTGGTCTTTGACCCCACCATCTTTCCAGGTTTGACCCCTTCCCTAGGTTTGCCCTGAGCAACCCCAGAAGAGGAGGAGGAGGAGGTGGAATTGGTTTTTATACTCCACTCTTGATCACCCAAAGGAGTCTCATAGCAACTTACAATTGCCTTCCCTTCCTCTCCCCACAACAGACACCCTGTGAAGTAGGTGGGGCTTAGAGAGTTCTGAGAGAACTGTGACTGACCCAAGGTCATCCAGCTGGCTTCATGTGGAGGAGTGGTGAATCAAACCTGGTTCTCCAGATTAGAGTCTGCCCCTCTTAACCACTACGCCACCAAGATTAAGTCTGCGCCTTTACAACAGCCTTAATAGTTTGTCCCTTATCAATATGGATGAAAAAGAACTGCACCAGCGGAGAATGCAGGCAGTGTTTTGCCAGCATATTTTTACTTGATGTATGCTTTCCCATTTCTAACCACTTTTACTACTGCTTATTAACCACATTACAGTTATATGTGTGATGTTGCTTCCTATGTTATTTCCATCATTTTGTACTGAATTATCATCACATCATTCAAAATCAAAACTGCATCAGGAAATGGTGAGTCATGTAGAGAAGAACATGAATTAGTCTCTTTCTCTGTGTGTACATGTCTGTACTGATTCAACAGTGAATAGAATCCTATCATCGTTATCTAAGCAGATACCTTTGCATTATTAATATATGTATTTTTACTTTTACCTGATTTGCAGAGATTTTAAAATGTTTCCTTATTGCATCTAGCACATCTTCAGTTTCATTCCTTGAAAAATAGTAGGAATCCTCATTGCTTCTTAAACTGAGCATACTGTTAAGATAAAATGTATAATTCCAGTTGCTTAGACTGAGCTTTGATGAGCAGGTGTCTTGATGATGAGTAATATAATACAGAAGAATAAGGGAAATTTTCTGGAACACTTCTTCGCTAAGATGGTATTCTAAGCCTCCACCAGCAATTAATATGAAATTATCTGATTCAAGGCACTATAAACAAGAAAAAAACAACAACCCTGAAATTAATTTCAAGTGGGGTCCTGCATAAAACTTCTGTGAACATCAGGTGGTCAGAACTGGAGTGGTTTAGATCTAATCCTAATATACTCAGACATCAACCACAAATAGGGTTGTCAACTCCAGGTTGAGAAATTCCTGGAGGTCTGAGGGTGGAGCCTGGAGAGGGACCTAAGCAGTGTACAATGCCATAGAGTCCACCACCCAAAGCAGCCATTTTCTCTGGAGGGACAGATCTCTGCTACCTGGAGATCGGTTGTAATTTTAGGAGATCTCCAAGCCCCACATGGAGGTTGGCAGCCCTTTGGAGCAAGCCATAGTAATTATTCGATTTCCCCCCCTGCTACAACTTCATTTTTTTTTTTTTACTGTTACTATTTTGGGAGCCATGGTAACATCATGTCATGTCACAGGGGCCTGGAAGCTGCCTTTGTGGTGAGAAGTATACAGCAAAATCTTGTATTAATATTTCCATTTGTGGAGTAATTATTCTTTAACTATCTGAATGAAAATAAGTAGAATGAGCAACTTGCCCAAAATACAATAACTCTGCAATGAGAAAAAAGTCCATTCTGTACATGTTCACAATGGGCTTTCTTTTTCATTATTACTTTGCATGAACCAAGGCTGAGCAGTACAAAAAGCTGGTTCTAGGTGTGAACTTTTCTGACATTCAGCATAAGACATGCTGAAGCCATAAACGATGACAGCATCATAACATAACCAAAAAATGGTAGTCATTTTGAATGTTAAAAACTGGTATTTAGAGGCCTCTCATAATATAAAGTCCTAAGCAGCAACTTATTTAGCTGGCCCTTACAATGGATCCAGTCTTGCTCACTCCACATAGGAGGCAGGGGAGATAAGCTTTTGTCATGTCCGGCATACAGCAACATATCAGGCCATGGATCTAGAACCTACACACCCAATGATATGTTTCCTGACGAACTTTCTAGTGCCTTCCAGGCAAGGTAAGTGCTTCCCTCACCCGTGGATACAAACATTACTGAGATGGCAGTGGTAGAAGCCATGGGGCTCTCAGTCTTTTGACAGTTTGGATTTGATGCTTGTGGGAAATAGCTAATTAATCATCTGAGATTACCACCTTTTGAACTCTGCAAGATGTAGGCCAAGTTCAGACTGGCAGTTTGGCCCGGCAGGCAAACGTTTCAGTAGCGGATTAAAGGGGCGGGTTCACACAGGCACATCTGTCAGACGTCCCCCAGCCGTACTCAAGCTGTCTTGTACCGCTTCCCTCCCGAGTTTAAAAGATACCATGTGAAAGTGGTAGTGAACCATGTGTAGAGCGGGTTAATTCCAGTTCCCTGAGTGTGAACGCAAGCACTGCTAAGGCAGGAACAACCTGCAGTAATTGATAATAGGCACCGGCTGTTTCTCCCAGCAGGCGCCATCGGAGCATGCGTGATCATGCCCTATTTGCCGCTGCACCCATACACCCATGCACATGGGCGTATGCAGCCCAGCACGGAAAGAGCTGCTAACAGCCTGCCAGGGCGGCCCAACAGTGTGAACGCTCAATTGTGCTTCCTCCACGGTATCCTCCCGCTTCATTCGCTGTGGTGTGAATGGGAATACCACAACCAAGCCGTTCCAGGTCTGTTCCGGTTTTTCTTTGCCACGACTCCCTAGCGCCTCAAATTGCCAGTCTGAACGCGGCCGTAGCTTGGGAAGTTGCAGGGTAATTTTGGGTTTTGCAAATCACTAACAGCATGAAAACAATGTCGACTTCCTAGATTTCTTATTCAGTGTCCATGTAAAATTTACAATTGAATGTTTGCTCACATCCTTTTTTAAACCTCTCAAATTATACAAACTAATAAAATGTAAATGTCATTTTTGTTGAACTACATTAAACACTTGAAAAGAAAATTTGTTATTACAACATCTGCCCCATTTTCTTTTACTACTTGAAGTACTGACCAGATTACAGTCTTCTTGCAACCCATAAACCCTTTGTGGACACATAGTTCTTTCAAACAGCATCCTGATAATTTCTCTTGATTGGTTCTGGTGTTGTTCAGTGGTGTTATCAGCTGAAAGGATACGTAAAACATCTACCAAATAGCTTTGGCTGGAGGCATCATTGTTTTTCTCATTCTGTTCTTCCTCAGGTTGTGTTCCTGCAGGGTTTGGGCCAAATATAAAAGTCAAGGATGCTATCCAAAGAACTGGATGCTTAGTCAGAAAACACATTTCCTCTTCTTCCTGCAGCCTGTGTCTGTGTTGGGTGTTGAATCGTGGTATGCAGCTCGCAGCTTAAAACTTGAAACCTGAGAAATTTATATAATAAAGGGTGGGGAAAACCCCTTAATTAGAGTGGCTGCAATATGTTTGCAAGGATTTATTAATTGGTTGGCTAAGCTGATTTGTGGTGACAAGCTGTTTCTGAACAATGGGGGTCTGTAGGGAGTTTACAGCGAGATCACAGCAGGAAACTAAGTTGATTGTGGCTGTAACAGTTGTGTGAAATTATACATAAAAGGTTGCTGGAGATTAATCATTCCTTTCCCT